GGTTGATCTCTAAAAGTAATAATAAATAACCTGTGATTTCTAAATTGTTCGTGTAAAACTATAATTTTGTATTAAAAATTATTGCAACTAATATAGAAATAATTATCAATAATAATCAAATTAAATGTAATGTGTAGTTATTTATGAATATTTATTATTTGAATATTAAAAATAAAGAATCTTATTATTTTAAGGTTACATCATCTAACTTATCTAAAATAGTGTTTGGAATCGAATATATTTGAATATACTCGAGTATTCATTTAAATTTATAAAGTATATTCGAATAATATTCGAATAAGTTAAATTTCCTTTTATAGTAATGATTTACATAATTTTTGGCCTGAATTATGATTTTAACTCAGTTAAATTTAAGGATTTAATGCCCAATTAGAATTTTAACTATACTATATCTGGCTAAATGAATACTCGAATAACCACTATGCTTATTCGAATACTCGAATATACTCGAGTTATTCGAATAACTGTTACATGATTCCAAACACTAATCTAAAAGTGACATTAAAAATTTATTACACTATTGCAATTTCCTTAATATACCACGTAAATCTTTCCATTCTCTACTCATGAATTTTTGATTATTTTATATATTTGATACTGTAGTCAGCAAGATTATATTGAGCTGCGATACTTCTTAAATTAGCAGCTTTATGATATAATTCGAATCATTTTTATCTACTAGCACCAATTCCATTATTATATCATATCCTAAGTCCTAACACCTGAATCGTCATCATCGGATAGTTAATTGAATAAATCTTTTATTCATATACAGTACATGAAAGTAAGATTATCATACATAGCTATATTGTTTCCATTATTTCCATTATTTGCAGCTTTTTTTTGCCAATATTTTAACTATTTTTTAATTCTTGGTATTATCATAACATAACGACGTCTTGAGCGCTTTCTTATAATTTCCATTTGTTTACGTGCCGCTATTACTGTTAGATTGATTATTGTTTGGTTTAATCATCCGCCAATAATATCATATGGTTTGACGGGACCTTTCGTTCAATTTTACAACTAAACTCCCAATAATTTTACAGCTAGTACAAATTTGCATGAATGATACTACCTCATTAACTATGTGAGGTATATATAATGGTAAATAATATAAAAAAATTACCAAATAATGATAACAATTCCTCCATTATGTAAGTATAATACAGTATAATACAACTGGTACAACTAGTATTTAAATTATTTATAATTCTAAGGTTCTTAAAATTTTTTTTTCAAATAATTGTTAAGACTATAATTTTTTTTTCTTATTGAATGAAACCACGTAAATTGAAATTAAACTAAAAAATAAGATAATAATATATATTGCAAATAAATATAGCCCTGTAAAAAAAAAATGTCCGGAAATTGTAGCTAAAAACATCCGGAAAATGTCCGTGTGTCCGGAAAACGTCCGGAATATTGCAATATTCCGGACACTTTCTGGACGCTGGGTCTGAACCCTCCTAGACATTTTCTGGACATTTTCTGGAAAATGGAAATTTTCGAACGTCCGGAATATTGCAATATTCCGGAAATATTCCAGACAAATAAACATTTTCCGGACGTTTTTAGCAACAATTTCCGGACATTCTTTTTTTATAGGGAGAGTAAAAACAAGTAAACTTGACAATTCGAATTCTGATAATAATTTCTGAAAGTTTTTCAGGTGAGTTTAGATAATCTTGAAGTATGTTATCGTAGTAAATTGATTCCTTTTGCGATGATGCTTCAACACTAATTTTTTTTTATTTTAGAACCATTTACATGTGATGAAGTTTAAAACATGTTTTATCATGAAAAAAAAATATTAACGAGCAAAGGTAATGAAATAAAAAAAACTATAACATTAATCATTAAAACTCACGTTATAAAATCATCTATTAAAGAACAAAATATTTCAAATTTTGTTAATTAGCAAAATAAATTAACCAATAATAAGATTCTTTACAGATTTTAATAGGTTGATACCAAATGTACGGTGGATGTCTATTCAGAATACCTTTTAGTATCATCATGATATTTATTTTAAACGAACAATGGTATATATTAAATTACTCTTTTATTATCTTAATAGAGCAACCACGCGTTGAAAATTTTTCTAATATATTCTTATAAACAAATTATTGTCGGAAGCGTAAGCACTTATGATTATGATAAGGTACACTCTATTTTGGATTCTTGTCTGTCTGCACGCGTTTAAATGCCTATCATATTCTAGTATATTGTGTGACAATAAATTTCATGTTATGTGATTTTGTCTACATCACGCGTTAATACTTTTATTATACATTGATGATGCTTCAGACGCTACAGTATATATACCGTAGATTAAAATATTTTTCGTATGACTGTTATCATAAATTTTTTCATTTTAAATCTATATTTAAAAATTTTATTTCCTTTTCGCACATGAACGCAGAGCTACGTGTCTATGCAAGTTGCAGGCAGTTCGTCATTTGTACTGATCATTTGACCCGCCGTCCGTGGGTACGTCTCCAGCAGAATTGCGCGTTTTTTGATGTCTCCATCCTTTTTTCAGAAATAAAGAAAATTCTCTAAGGAAAGCTTAGCAGTTAGCACATGCTTGATCTTGGGTATTACAAATGGCGCACAAACCACTATGAGTAAGAAATCATTTTTTTTTCTAGACAGTAACTGTAGAGAAATTTTATAGATATAAAAGAGATTGTAACTTAGCATGAAATGAGTATCAAACATTACATTGAGAAGGAATTGCTATTACCTCTTCTTTATTATTTTATTACTAACATTCTTGATCAGGAATTTCTTTCACGAAGGTATTGATCACTGGATTCGCATTGATATTTATAAAATAAACATTTGAGACGTAAGTTCCATTTCGTTTCGTCCGAAACGAAGCGTAAGACATTATACTTTTGTCAAAAATCGATCAGTCACGTGAGTCTTTCCGTTTGTCACGCCGCGTCATTTCTGATTGGAAAAAATGTCCCCTGATCACGCTCCGGACCTAATGGCTTAGTGATTAAAGAAAGAATGAATTACAAATCATTCCTAGTACATGCACTGATTGCACTGTATACATTATTTAAATTAGAAATAGGTAAAAAAATCCACTAACTGTATTAAAATTTAAGTATAACGAGAAACGTATGTAAGATAAGCTATTTTATGCGACTTTCTTCTCACTTCTTTCTTTATTATGTAGCCTAAAATGTACATCATTTAGACACCGTTCGCCTTTAAAGCAAATGAGACTTATACATCATCCACTTGATGTTGTCTATCATAAGAAGACTTTTCGTAAAAGTGTAGCGAAATTGAAAAGATACTGTAAGATTAATAATTAATTAATCCCGTCACCAGTATTAAAGTATATTTAATTCAAAATATGCAATTTATGTAATTCAGATGATAAATTCACATGCGTTGTAAAAAATTTTACTGCAAATCACATAATAAACGAATAACTTTTCCATAATAAAACAACTTTCATAAAAACCTGAAAATACCTAATCTTTTTTCCCTGTCGATAATATTTCAATGTTACAATTCTTTGCAAAAACTATGAAATTTTTTCCGACGTTAATATGATGCTGATACGGTATCGATAAAATATCAATATTGTTCAAGATTATATTCTTATAATAATATGCCACGAGACACTTACCATTAAGTACTGTACATCATTGAGTATCGTTACGATGTTATCACTTTAATACAATACATTTTCAAAATTTTCAATGTACTATTAAATAGCCATAAAGTAGTACAGTATATATTAGATAGAATTAATCTTTTATTTAATTAACAATTTACATTGAAACTTTAGAAAATATGTTGTTAACAATGAATCAATAGTTATTGGATGGGGAAAAAGATATCGTTCGGAGACCGATATGACGATATCCCCTATCCAATAACAGAGACTAATAATGTTTTCAATATTGGATTCTCATATCATTAAAATCCCGCATATTCTAATCGACTGAACAATAATATTAAATATAATTTTGTGAACGGTTCTTCTTGGTGTTCAGAACAGGAAGATCTTTGAGATGACGTTGATCATCTTAGGGAACGACAGGCTTGATATTTCTGTGGTGATTTTTGCTGCAGCTAAAGTATCTAAAAAAGGAAGAAACCAAATTTTTAGCAGTAATGTTTGTTAAATTGGTTAATAAAGAAAAAAAACATCAAGTACTGGCCATCTAAAAAAAACATTTTGTTAAAAAAAAAATTTAAGGAAAGGAAAATAAAAAGAAAAATTACACTTACCAAGTTCTGCATCCAAGAAGACCAAAAAAATGCATTATATGTATTTCAAAATTGAGCAAAGTTGATGAATTTTTCAGGACTGATCGATCAGTGTTTAAACAAGAATGACTAATAAATAATTTTAGTCAGTTATTTTACACTTAATTTAGTTAAATCCTTTTGCCCTTGCAAATAATTTTAACATCGTGAAAGTCTACTCTATTTTCGCTAATATTCTATTCATAGTAACCATCTTTAAAAACTAAATTATTTTTTAATAAACATTTTGGTCATGACTTAGATTTATTGGTATGCATTTACAAATCCTCCCTGTAAAAAAAGTTTATATTCCATCTTTTTTCTGTAAAAGGCTCATTTTTACGGAATTTTTACAGAAATAACGGATAAAATTTTTATAGAGCCTATTTTACTTGATATCGAGTTGATAATATGGATTTTACAATGCGTTGCAAATCACATGACAGCAAATTTTAAATTTAACCCATTAAAACCACTTTCACAATAACTTAAAAATATATATAGTTCAAATATAAACCATACCGTATATATATAAATACCATTTATTTTATTTTTTCTTTGTTGCCAAAAAAGCTGTATGTAATTACTGCGGTACTGCGGCTAGCTCTTTTGTTTGGTGTACTAAATGATACTGTGTGACAAAAATCCTGTATAAAAAAAAGTTGTTACCGTACAAAAAAATTCCACAAACTTTGACCGTTCAATACTATCGTTTATAAACTTTATTATTATTCAATATGTCTGATTATAAGGAAATGCGAGATAGCAAAAATACAAATGAATGGATTAATTGGATTGAAGAAGCTATTGTTAAAGAACATTTAAAATTATACGAATACAATCAATTTAGTAATATTCAAGAAATTGGTTCTGGAGTTTTTGGAAAAGTGTATCGTGCAAATTGGAAAAATTTAAAAAAACAATTTGTATTAAAATCTTTTTTTAATCTTAACAATGTCACCATAAAGGAAATTGTTTGTGAGGTAATTTATATATTATATTCTTTTTATTTATAATCTAAATTATATTTATTTTAATATTTTTAATATTTGAATTTATTTAGTTAAAAAATCAACGTAAAGTTGATTTTCTTGATAATATTATTCGTTGCCATGGAATTACAAAATTTGAGTCAGGTATTACAAGGCATTAATAAAGTTACTTGATAATTATAATTATGATAGTCTAATTTTTATTCACAAATTACGTTTAATGTTTAATTCTTTTTTATTTAGATCAAATTGGTAATAACTATATGCTGGTAATGGAATACGCTGACAGTGGTAGTCTTCGAAGCTATTTGAAAAAAAACTTTAATAAACTCACTTGGGATGACAAATTCAATATGGCGTACCAATTAGCTTATGCTGTATCATGTTTACATAGTGAGGGGATTATCCATCGTGACTTGGTAATTTATTTATTATTATTTAATTATTGTTTGAAATTCTATATTGCGTTTACTTATTTAATATATTATACATTTTAATAGCACTCTGACAATATATTAGTTCATCAAAACATGATCAAATTGGCAGATTTTGGGCTGTCAAAAAGAATTGGGAAATCATCCAATTTTCAATCCAAACCATTTGGAATGGTTCCTTATGTTGATCCAAAAAGCTTTAACAAACGAAGAAATAATAATAACCAAACAACACAAATGTACTCGTTAAATGAAAAGAGTGATGTTTACAGTATAGGCGTATTATTATGGGAAATATCCAGTGGGCAACCTCCTTTTTATGTTGAGAATGAAGAATATGATGTTGGTTTAGCTTTGGAAATTTCGCAAGGTCTTAGAGAAACTGTTGTTCCTGATACGCCTGAAGAATATGTTAAAATTTATACTAGTGAGTAAAATTTTAAATTTTAAATTCTACATTTTTATAATTTAGATATTATTTTAATTAATCCTAAATTACATTTATTTCTTAGAATGTTGGGATGGGGAACCAGATAATCGTCCAACCATTTATCAAGTAGTTGATCGGCTAAGTGCAATAATTACAAAAACAGATATAATAATAGAAAATCCTCAATTATCAAGCAATCAAGAATTTAATGAGGCCCCTTTAAGTATCAATAATTCAAAATTACAAGGAGAATTATCTAAACCGAATACAAAAGAAATTGATACTACAGCAGTATCAGATAAGCAAGAAAAATCTTTAACTAACAAAGATTTTAACAGAATATTTGATGAAATAAAAGATTTAATTATTAACGTTAAATTATTAAATAAAAAAATTGAGGGAAAATTAATAAAAGAACGATCTATTGAAAACTTTAATAATTATAATAATGATTATTATAATAACGATGATTATAATCAAGACGTTATTTTGTGTGATTCGTCTCGAGTAGATACGTATAATTCTAATTCTATTACATATCGTAATATTGGTAATTATCTTAAAAACCTGTGTGAGATTATTGAACATCAAGAAAAAAATATAGTATCCATTCATCCGACAATCAACAATAGGTAAGCATAATATATCATGATTTGGGATAACAATTACGTAATAAAATAAGCGGATTCGATAATTTTAATGTGAATATTTATTAATTCATAGATTCGAAATATTTTGTCTTAAGCTTGAACAAATTGATTTGTTTAGATCACTAATGTATAAATATTACGAATCTGGTTGTGAATTAGTAAGTTTATTCTGTTAACTAATGGACTTTTTTTCCATTGAAAAAATTACATTATAATTTGAATATCCTTGTATATATATTTAGACAGGAACTTGGGATGAGCCTCTTTCATTGAATACGGGATATCTATGTGATCCAGCTTTTAAAGAATATGTGGAATTCTTTGATAAATACAAAGAAATAACTTTGTATTTTACCGAAGGGTTGGAACGTGTTAACTCCGATGAATATAAGTACGCGCTTGCATATTTTAAATATGCAATAGATCTGGAGAATGATTGGATCAGTAATCTTTTTGTAACAGATAACGATAAAAAAGGTGAATTAGTAAAACTAAATAAACTAAATGGTGAAAAATTACGACGTTCAAAAGAAATTGATTCTTATGCTAAAGCATGTTTAAAGGTTTGTAATAAATATAATATTTTTAATATATTATTATTGTTTTAACATACTCTTTATTTAGGTTGCACATGATGGTCTTCTTAGTAAGATCCGCCATGAACCATATAGGACGCGTGGATTAAAAGATGGATTACAAACATTACCATATATTGTGGCATATATTGGAGCATCAAATTGTGCAAAAGATGAATTATTTAAACGATTTAGAGATGAATTTGAAGAACTTATAGAAAGGATTGATTTTACTGAGGAACAACAAACATTAATTCATATTTTATTAAAAAAATACACACAACCTGAAGAATCTCTGGAATTAAAACCTAGTGATGAAGTTGAACCTGATGAATATTTATGTGAGCGGTATGAGACAGCATTGAAAAGATGTAGTTCAGGTCTAAAGAGTTATGAAGTACCCTATATTTAAATGAATATTATTTTTGTATTGTGAATATTTGTAGTTTTACTTAAAATTTATATTTCTTTTTTATATAGTATGTTTATATCTTTATATTTTTAAAATAATAAATTTTGTTATTAAGGAAAATTGTCAAATAATTGAAATTAATAATTTATGTCACGACATTTTTAAGATTAGTTATTAACTAATTAATAATCAAAATAGTTCGTTTAAATTATAAGCATTCAATTTATTCATTAATGCATTAGAAAAGAACCACATATTAGCACAATTGAATATTATCGAAATGAATAATGAATGAAAAGTTAGCTTTTTAATATTATGAGAAAGTGGCTAATAAAATTTCACACATGGACAACTGGATCTTTTGGATTATAATGAGCAAGGTTAAAGATTCAATAAAATATGTAATTCCATAATTTCCTTTAAGAAATAATTGCTATCTTACTCTTATTAGGAATTAATAATCTCTTAAATTGAATCTTAAGTAAGTTGGTAGATTGTAAGATTATCTTAATTAGTCAAGTTGTTGATTATTTAACATGTATTGTTATACTGTATTTATATTATAGGTCAAGCCAGAATTTATAATAATCTTTTTTTTAGTATTTTTTTTTCTTATAAATAATATTTATTATACATGTGATCTTATTTGGACTTGCTTTTAAGATGTATTAATTAATATTGCAATCTTAATTAATAAAGATACTGTATATGAATGTGCAGTATTCGTGACTATTAATATATTGCACTTTTAAATAGTATTTGAATACAAAAAATGTAAATTTTTTTCAACTCTTAAAAGAGGAAATCATCCATTCAAATTGGAAGAGCGATTTAATTATGAAACTTTAGTAATCGCACTTAATATACCTTGCTTATTGATTGAAAATGAAAAAAAATACATATTATAATTTATCCTGCGGAATAATATCGATTCGCCAATGCCATCCGTCGTATGGTTATGATTATGAACTTGAATTTATTGTTTGAAGAGTTACAACCTGACACACATTACAGATGTTATTTCTTTTATATATTGCGACAAAATTTTTCCTATAAAAATTTTTCTGAAATCGGTACTTGATGTAAAAGGTGTTTTGTATTGTTTATTATTTCTTTCACGTTTAAACATCTTTTATTTCCACTATTACAAGAATGATTATGAAGGATAGGTAAAAAAAAATTCATAAAATTTATTGATTGTATTTAAAAATATTATACATGTCTTATAAATTAGAAAAAAAAAACAATATATTCTTTTACTACAATTTAAATAAAAATAATTTATTTTAATTATAAATTATTTGGAGTAATACCAACTTATCTTTTGCATCTTGATCACCTTGTTCAGCAGATTTTCTATACCAATAAATTGCCTTATTTATATCCTTCGTAATTCCATCTCCATTTTCATATATATAAGCAAGATTATATTGTGCTACCATGTCTCCTAAATTTGCTGATTTTTGATATAATATAAATGCTTTTTGTTTATTAATTTCAGTTCCAATACCATTTTCATAACAACATCCTAATGAAGTCATTCCACCCAAAAATCCTCTTTCAGCAGATTGTTTAAACAATTCAAAAGCTTTATTATGATTTTTCTCAACACCTATTCCATCTTTATAATAAAGACCAAGATTGTGCATGGCCATTATATTTCCATTCTTTGCAGCTTGTTTATACCAATTAAAAGCTTTTTTTACATCTTTTATAACACCTATTCCATTTTCATAACAATAACCAACTTCCATTTGTCCAATTGTATAATTTTGCTTAGCTATTATTTCAAAATATTTAAAAGCCAAATTTTCATTTATATCAATTCCATACCCATATTGATAACATATACTAACAAAATATGATGCTAATATATGATCTCTACTGTGTGCATCATAAAATAACTTAAATGCTTTCTCATTATTTTCATTTGTTTCAATTCCATAATAATTAAAATATCCAAGTAAAAAAATAGAATTTGAACTATTTTGATGTTGTAATAACCAATTATAATTATCTTGTAAATCTATAATATTATTATTAAAATATTCAATAACTTGCTGTTTTACTAATTTATCATTAATTCCTTTATTAAATGATTTAAAAATAAAATCATTTATTTCATCAATTATTATATTAAAATCTTTTTTAGATAAATTATATTTTTGTTCACTTGCTGATATTATTATACTATCAATTTCTTTTGTATTCATTTTATCAAAATTTTGAATAAGTTGAGATAGTTCTCCTTGTAATTCTGAATTATTAATATTAAAAGGCATATTAACAGAAGGTTCAACATTACTTAAATTAAATTCTTGATCACTTGATAATTGAATATTATCTATCATTACATCAGTTTTTGTAATGATTACTTTTAACCAATCAATTAATTGAAATATAGTTGGACGATTATCTGGCTCACCATCCCAACATTCTAAAAAGAAGATAAATATAATTTAAAATTAAAATATATTCAAATATTTAATTATACTTAAATTTTTACTTACTAGTATAAATTTTTACATATTCATCAGGTGTATCAGGAACAACCGTTTCCCTGAGACCTTGTGAAATGTCATAAATCAGACCAACATCATAATTTTCTCCATCAGCATAGAAAGGAGGTTGCCCACTTGACATTTCCCATAGCAATACTCCAATACTGTAAACATCACTTTTTTCATTTAATGAATACACTTGGTTATCATTATTTCTTCTCCTGCTAAAGCTTTTTGGATCAACATAAGGAACCATTCCAAATAATTTTGATTGAAAATTGGTGGATACTCCAATCCTTTTTGATAATCCAAAATCTGCTAATTTAATTGTATCATGATGAACTAATACATTACCAGAATGCTATTAAAAAGTATATAAATGTATTAAATGAGTAATGAAAGCAATATTTTTATTGGATGATTGAATATTAGTAAATAAATTACCAAATCACAATGGATAATCCCCTCATTATGTAAGCACGATACAGCGCAAGCTAATTGATACGCCATAAGGTACTTGTTATCCCAAGTAAGTTTATTAAAATTATTCTTCAAATAATTTCGCAGACTACCGCTATTAGCATATTCCATTACTAACATATAATTAATATTATTATCATGATTTTCTATAGAACAAAAGAAATAAAAGAATTAACCATTAAAACGCTTATAAATAAAACTCAGTATATACTGTATATTTATCATTTTTATAATACCTGACATAAATTTCGTTACTCCATAACAACGAATAATATTATCATGAAAATCAACTTTACGTTGAATTTTTAACTAAATAAGTTTCAAATCTTGAAATAAATATAATAGAATAAAACCACAGACTGAAAAATAAATAAAATTTATTAAATATCAAATTACCTCACGAACAATTTCTTTCATAGTGGCGTTGTTTATATTAAAAAACGATTTTAACGCAAAATTTTTTTCTAAATTTTTCAAATTGGCTCGAAACACTTTTCCGAAACTTCCAGCACCAATTTCCTTAAAGTTGTTAAATTGATTATATTCGTAATAATTCAAATGTTCTTTATCAATAGATTCTTCAATCCAATTTATCCATTCATTTATATTTTCGGTATCTTGCATTTCGATATTATAGATAGACATAATTGAACATATAAAAATAATTTGATAGAAAGATATTAAAAGTTGATTGAAACGTCAATTTATTTTAAGTATTTATACCTTTTTCTCCGATTATGATCATACAGTATCACAAATATCAGACACAAATAGTAAGGTATATCTTTGATCGGCGCCTGAGTCCTCAGCCGCATTTCGCAATTATGACACAAAAAATTGTACCACACATAAAAAAAAAGTCTATTGGAAATAAAATTTAAATACTTATCGATATACGGTAGCCGAAGGTATTACACGAAACTAGTAAATTAGCATAGTAATTTTGGTAGGTAGAGGATATGCATATCCCTATAAAAAATTTTTATCCGAATATTTCCGTTATTTCTCCGTGTCTTCCATAAAAATTCCGTGAAAATGATATATTCCCGGATATCCGTGTTAGCGAGATGAAAATTTCCATGATTTATGGCTATAAATTCCATTAAAATGATACATTCACGGAAATAGCATGGAAAGATAAAACACGGATCAGATTTTTTATAGGGTATTTCTTAAATAAAAATGCGTGTATCATGACGTTTAAAACAGATGATATGTATTTATTTATTTTATAATAATCTTTTAATTCGTAAATTTAACAAGGATTATAAACACTAATATAAGAGTCAAGAAAATATAAATATAAAATTTAAAATTACATTTAGATTCAACTGAGGCAAGATTAGAATAACTATAGTAACAGTTCTCAAGTACCCGAATGGTAGTGAAATTAGTAAAATCCATGTTTATGGTTTTATGATAAAGCGTACAAAAAGTTTATCTTACAATAACAGATAAATTTATTTTCTAATACCAGATGACTAATAACAGCGTGAGTGATAGTTAGTAATACGTATTTCTTTATTAAATTTTATAAAAATTCATAGAAATACATAGGATTAAAACATTATTTAAAACTATCAACTAACACAAATTAAAATGTTATTGTAGTTAAAAAAAAAAAAAAAAAAAAAAATTATTACAGTATTATGAACCTTGAACATAAAATTAATTTAATATCTATCAACTATATACTTGCTCCTATCAACTTTTCTCTATACGTATAAGGCCTTATTTGTTTCAAAGGGTCTATTAATTAGAATTGTATTACCAGTTACCAGCTAATTTATTAATTTTTTAAGTTTTTTTTGCTTTTTAATTTTGTTATTATTATTATTAAAATTATTATTATCATCTTTGTCTAATATCGTATCTTGCTCTCTGTTGCTGTCCTTATTCTGATTTTCCCTCCTTTTATCTTTTCAATTCACACCTACACAACCAAATGTATTTTTCATATTGTTGTAGCAATATATTCCCATAACTCTCGTAACACTATTCGAGTATTCGCTCCTCTTTAGTTTTTGCGATAGTATCTAATTTGTAATTGTATGAACCACGCGTTAATTCTCTCCTTGTTAGTAATTAAAATTTTGGATTGTTCTTGTAAAGTGCAGTACTATCTATCATGTTCAATTGATGCTTGAATAAAATTTCGTACGTTGGAAGCTCCTTGATAAAATTTTTATTTTATACGCTCGTCCATATGTGTGTTCGCGTGACGTAAACATTTTTTTGTACTTATTAAGATTAGATATAAAACGTAAACTTCTATTCCAATCTATCCTTTGTAATACATTATTACAAAATGCGTAAAATGCGTCGAATTTAGTATGTATACTTTTATTTAATTTCACATTTTCTTAATCTAATTTCTATTGTTACCAAATATTTAAACGTAACACGTATACATACAATATATAATCATCTTGTTCCTTTTAAATTATTAAACTCTTTTTCTTCTCTTTCCCATTTATTATTCGTTATCTGGTATACAGTATTTACTAACAATTTAATATTTCTTTCGTATCCAATTTTTAATAAAACTAACTACCATAATAACAATTATTTAATCTTTTTCTGATACTTACGTAATCATCAAGGTGATTTAAAATACTAGCTACTTGTTTACATACCGTTATATACTTTGAAAATTTTCTAATTATTAATAAAGCAATAATTATACTTTCCTCTTCACTAAAATTATTATATCGTGTATATTTCGTTAAATATTTTATATTTTTCCTAATACCTTTATTTAACTGCTACATATTAAATTAGTTCTTCAATATCTTGCTCTTCCATTATCTCTTTTTAATTTCATTTATTTTTACGTTCACTTTCTTCTAAAAAACAATCTATTATATTAATTTGATCATTAAAATTTTCATCATCTTCTATTATCTTTTAAATAAATTATTTTTGAATTTTCGTATTTTCTAATGATTCGTATGGTTTGATATTTTATCAAAGTCACTTTTTTCGTTTCTAAAATATATCATCATACTTTGTTATTTTCTAAATATATAAAACATTCATTCTTGGTATAGCTTTTTTATTATAATTACCATAATAAAAATTATTATACCGGATCTTTATAAGATAATTAAAGCAGAAATTTAAAAATTAACTGTTATTATAGTTACTATAAATTAACCAAATTTCATCACAATATGATTATCACAAGATAAGTATGACGATAAAATAATCTTCCTTAAAAACCTTTTACAAGAATTTAATACTGATGACATACGTGAAATTTGGAAAGTTGAATCATTATTGACTCGTCTGCCAATTTCTTGTCAATATGTAATAATCTTAAAAAAAGCATGTACCTGTTTATTATTAGCTAATAGTAGAGTAATTTGCCGCCATTATTTTAAGGTAATGATGGAATCTAATTTTGCGAAATTTCATATTAACATGATTCAAAGATGGTATAAGGAACATTTACAATTAGATTTAATGAAAATTAATAATTCACCAGTTGTTACACTTGGTAATGAACATAATGTGCAAGATGTTAAAATCTGAAAGTGATCAGCTAATTGATATTGACTTCACACAAATAAATATTTTTACGCTATCAATCACCTACTATTCAAAGACAAGCTTTTTAAAAAAAAAATGAGTACGTTATTTTAACAGAAATTTCAAGAAAAGCTTCTCAATTAGCAATAGAAGATGGGGATGAATTAAAAGATTTTTTAAATAAATTTATTGAAAAAAGAAAAAAAATCGTGAGGTGCAAGAATCAAATAGGAGTAAATAAAAATGTAAGAAGTGCAGAAATTAATGTAAAATTGTTTTTGAAGCTAATGGAAGAGTATATGCAACGGATGATATTAATGAACTATTAGAACATATTGCAAAAGGTCGTCCTGCTAACTAAATAGTAAAATCTAGTATAGAAATCTCTGAGAAAAGAAGTGGTAATATTTCAGGTAAAGAAAATGCCAATAAAAAGGAATATGTATGTAGTAAATGTAAAGAAATAGGACATAATGCAAGAACATGTAAGAAGTAAATAAAATAGGATTAGAAGATTTATATATTCTCATGTTTCTCATGTGCTAAAATTTAAAGTTGTTTAATAGTTGCGTTAAGTAATAATTGCGTTAAGTAGAGTTAGTTTGGAGTTAGGAGGTTAGGATCTATAGTAATTTAATATATATTTGCAACAACAAAGCAATAAACCTATCAAATTTTGAAGTAGTTCAATAGTTGCGTTGGGTGCAAGATTTAGGGTTAGTTTAGGGTTAGTTTAGGGTTAGGAGGATAGGATATATATACACCACGGCACAAAAAAATTAAAATATATTTTATCACATAATTAACATGTGATATAAGCGAAATAATGGGGTGATAAATAAAAATGTAAACCTTGTAAAGATACTTTTGACAAATTAGTATATTCTTACTTTCATCTTATAGCAACACATTTTGAAAAAACTCCAAGAGATCACTTTGTTCAATTTTATTAAAAATTCGTAATGACGTTATTATGTATGAAATTACTGCGGTACCATGGCTGAGCCGCTGAGGTCGACCGATTGACTTTTTTGTTTGGTAATACTAAATCACGCTGTACGTTGTGCGACTATATCGGAGAAAAAAAATTTATATAATAGCATACACAATAAAAACTTTGACAATTTTTACTTTTCATTTTTTTTATTTTTTTTTTAACTTTTTGTTAACTTATTATTATTCAATACGTTCGATAATATCAAAATGCAAAATACCGAAAATAAAAATGAATGGGTTAATTGGATTGAGGAAGCTGTTGATAAAGAACATTTAAAATTTTATGAATATGAAGAATTTATTAATATTCAACATATTGGTACTGGAGGTTTCGGAAACGTATATCGTGCAAATTTGAAAAATTCAGAAAAATTATTTGCGTTAAAATCTTTTTTCAGTCTTAATAACTTCACCATGAAAGAAATCGTTCGTGAGGTATTTTAATCTATACTTTTTTTTTTTTATCTATGAAATTTTATCCAATATATTTTTTTCAAATATTTTATTTTTTATTCAGCTAAAAATTCAACGCGAAGTTGATTTTCATGATAACATTATTCGTTGCTATGGAGTAACAAAACTGGAGTCAGGTATTATTAATATCACCTTGATAAATATAATATTCTTTTAATCGCAAAATTTTACAAAAGTTTCATTTAGTAATTATTTCTTTATTCATTAGAAAATCATAATAATTATCGATTAGTAATGGAATACGCCGACGGTGGTACTCTTCGTTTTTATTTAAAGGAAAATTTTAACAAGCTTACTTGGGATGACAAATATAATATGGCATACCAGTTATCTTGTGCCGTATCATGCTTGCATAACGAAAAAATAGTGCATCGTGATTTGGTAATTTATTTATTATTTAACAATAATGAATTTTGTATATTAATTTTAAAAAATTGAATATATATATGTTTCTTTAATAGCACTCCTGTAATATTCTAGTACGTAATAACACAATCAAATTAGCAGATTTTGGATTATCTAAAAGAATTGGAGCATCATCCAATGTTTAATCTAAATTATTTGGTGTGGTTCCTTATGTTGATCCAAAAAGCTTTAGTAGACGAAGAAATAGTAATAATCAATCAACACAAATGTACTCAATAAGTGAAAAAAGTGATATTTATAGTATAGGCGTTTTATTATGGGAAATATCCAGTGGACAACCTCCTTTTTATGTTGAGGATGAAGAATATGATGTTGGTTTAGCTGTGGAAATTTCACAAGGTCTTAGAGAAACTGTTGTTCCTGATACGCCTGAAGAATATGTTAAAATTTATACTAGTGAGTAAAATTTAAAATTTAAAATTCTATATTTTTATAATTTAAAATATTATTTTAATTAATCTTAAATTAACATTTATTTCTTAGAATGTTGGGATGGGGAACCAGATAATCGTCCAACTATATATCAAGTAGTTGATTGGCTAAATGCAATAATTACAAAATCAGATGTAATAGTAGAAAATCATCAAATGTCAAATGAACAAGAACTTAATGAGACTTCTTTAAGTAGTAATAATTCAGAATTACAAGGAGATTTATCTCAACTTATTCAAAATTTTGATAAAATGAATACTAAAGAAATTGATTCTATGGCAATATCAAGTAAACAAGAAAATCTTTCAACTGAAAAAGATTTTAACATTATAGTTGGTGAAATAAATGATTTTATTTATAAATCAAAAAATAAAGGAATTAATTGGGAATTAGAAAAACAGCAAGTTATTGAATATTTTAATGACCATAATATAAATTCACAAGAATTTTATAATTGGTTATTAAATAATCAAAATAGTTCCAATTCTATTTTCATTCTTGGATATTTTAATTATTATGGAATTGTAACAAGTCAAAATAATGGGAAAGCATTTGAATTATTTATTAATGCATCAGAAAAAAATCATACATTAGCACAGCTTTTTGTTGGTTATTGTCATTTTTATGGATATGGGACTATAAAAAATGAAAAATTAGCTTTTGATTATTTTGAAAAAGTTGCAAATAATGGAAATATAGTTGCAATGCATGATCTTGGTCTTTTATATGAAGGTGGAATTGGTGTTGAAAAAGATTATAATAAAGCTTTTGAATTGTTTAAACAAGCAGCTGGAAGAGAAAATATAAATGGAATAATGATGTTAGGATATTGTTATGATGAAGGTATTGGAACCGAAATTAATAAGCAAAAAGCATTTGAATTATATCAAAATGCTGCAAATTTAGGAAATAAAGTAGCACAAAATAATTTTGCTTTAATGTATAGAGATGGAGATGGAATTGCAAGAGATGTCAATAAAGCAATTTATTGGCTTGAAAAATCTGCCAAACAAGGATATGAGTTGGCAAAAGATAATTTAAAAAGACTTCAAAAAAATCAATAATTTATATAATTATATTACTGATGTGGAAAGATGATTTAATTTAAAATGAATGATATAATAATAGACACAAATTTATTTTATAAGAAAATATATATAAGAAAATTACACAAAATAGGTAAATATTTCACTATTTATTTATATATATTCACTATCTTGAAATATTTAGAAAAAATGAATACTCGGCTGTAAATAAATGATTTTAAAGTTTTACAATTTAATAAACATATAAAAGTTAATATGAGCTGTCATTTGAAGTGTTATTTTTTTAAAAAAAAAATAAAATAAAATAGAATTTAATAAGATAAACTCAATTGAAAACTGTAAAGTGTAACAAATAAATAAAAACGTATATCGAAAGCTAAAATAAGAAATAAGGTTAAGATAATTTTTATTTATAACTGTAATACTATAACGAGAGTTAATTTGTAAATAAGTCAACTTCCAGATTTTTTGCAAACTAATTTTACGAAGCATCAATTTAATACATTTTAACAAAATAAAAATTTTACATTTGCTCGCTGATAGTACATTATCTATAATTTCATTTATGAATTTTTTTTTCAACAGGTTGTCGTTAGCAATAATAAATGATCGAGAGCCACTTGCGCCACTTTGTAGGATTCAAATTTCAAAATGATCATTTTTCAAAATATAAAATATATAAATATTTAATAATGATGAAATATTCTTACTTCACAGTAATTATTACATTAATAAAAATTAACTTATATAATTCTCAAAATTAAAAACTATTTCGGAATTTACAATCGTTAAAATCGTCTAAATTGATCACAAAAAATCAGGCGTTATGTACACTTATACATGAAATTTATACAATAAATACAAAGATGTGAAAGGAGTATTGAAAAAAATCAGAAAATTATCTCATTATGAAGCATATTTTTAACCTCTATTTGAAGGTTTCTCATAATAATAAGTAATGTTTTATGTTGAAGCTTTAAAATTTTCCGATTAATAATTTTGCACATAAAAGCACATAAATATGTGTAAATTAACTGATCATAATGAAATAATAATATTATATATCAACAAAGAACTCTTAACTTTTAAGTGATTTTTTTTTTAACAATATACATGAAGGAAAAGTGTTTAATTATGATGATACTCTTTTTACAAATTTAATTTATTGATTAATAATCATGATGAACGAAATATTGTTCACTTTTAAATAAATCCTAAGTAACATCCACTTTTTTTTTAAAAAAACCCATTTTAATAATAAAAAATCAATGTATGACACTATGTCCAGTTTTCTCAACCCAACAATTAAGATGAAAAAAAAATAAAATAAAAAATTCTTAGAAAGTTGATTTTAGTTATCGCAACGTCTTCTTTCATATTTCATATTTACCGCATATTTACACATGTAATTTTTTTTAGTGTAAATAATGTTATTTGCCACCATTATAGACCTCCCCAGTTTTGAACATGTGATTTTGTTAATACGGCGCAGTTATGGCAAGTTGCAACTTTGGCAACTGATCTACTAAATAAGTTTTCTTTTCGCGTCTACCAAGAATACAAAATTATTTTTTAAAATAAAAAGTTAGCTTATTTTAAAAGATGCCTATTACAATGGTTTAAAACATTATTTGATTATTATGGAGCTAAGGTATTAACTCAAAACTTGCAGAAAATATGAAAACCTATAGAAATAAAAATTTGACAACCTAATAAAGAAATTATTTAGTCCTATTAATAAATTAGTTGAAGGTGTCAAAAAATTTTAAGAAAAACTAGCAGTAGCCGCATCGGGTTGTATAAATTGATTGATCGTCATTTTTGATTAATTTTTGGAAGTCTTGGCAATTAATATATAATTTGACGCAGTTAAAATTTTTAATTTATAATGTGGGAGAAAATTGCAAAGGTATAATTCCGGCCAGAATTATACAAATTTCCTTTTCCTGCACATTAGTAATTAGAATGAATTTGCCGATCAAGTGGTCTTAACTATTAAGAATAGATCAGGCGAAAACACATTAATAGATCATATTAAATGTTACACAATATTAGTAATTAATATTGTATGTCTATAAGAAAACGTAATAGATCAGGTGTAGAGGCGCAGATGAATAACACATTGGACAATTCAAAGATTATTTATATGGGCTAATCTAAACGTTAGTCACACAAACACAATTTTTTTAATTATATAGATGAACTATATCATTAACATAGAAGAGCACGAGGATTAGGTTAAGGTTGGTTTAGATGAAAGATTACCTTTAGAGTTAACGTTGTTGTTTAGGGTTAGATAAGGACTGGAATGTTTAGAATAACTACTACACTTAGCCCTGTCTCTTATACACATCTAGATGTGTATAAGAGACAGGTGCCATACTAATAACAAATGAACCACGTGTCTTTTTTTTTTTTGATGGATACGCTGGAAACTGTTCGAGCTTTTCTAAAATAAGCGGAGTGTAATATAGAATTCTCACATATCACATACATACGGTCAGTGGAATCTATGGTTGACAAGAGCGAGAGCTTAACCTAATCCTATGCATACCTAACCCTAAGCAATTCTAAAACGTGTGTCAACAAGTATTTCAGGTACATTCTATATTGATTTTTAATTTATAAATAAAGAAATTTAAATTAAAATTAAAATTAAATGTAATATTGAATTATTGATTTTAAACAATTCAATTTGTATTAAAAACTAAATAAAATAATTTACAATGGTAAATTATTGGGTATAGTTCACTTTTTTAAAATTTTTGAAAGGGATCTGCAATTATACAGACCCTATAAAAATTTTTTAGAAAATTGACCACGTGTCCGAGTTTTTCTGAAGTAAAAACTATAAAATTGATCATTCATCAGAGTTTTTTCCAGAAAATTTTTTATAGGGCAATAAAGACAAAATAAATCAAACCTCTAACGAATTATTTTTTCTCGATTCCATCCCAGCTCAGCACATGGATATTTCAACTCCATTTTCTATTAATAGAAAATATAGAAATCATAATTAATTATTGGACAGTCTTTTAAAATTTTGCGTAAAAATCTTAACGTAAAATTTTACAATTTTAATCAATGATAGTCATGATAATTTAGTATTGACATATGATTTGATTTCAGAAAAGAGGTCCAGTTCGGAGTTCCGTTATATCGAATTTCATTTTTTACTCTATTTTATTGAAAGTTTTCGTCAAAATTAAAATATTCGTCATACAGTATCAAAAAATCATATAATATTTATTTTATTAGCCTTTCCCCCGATCAATATTGCTTATGTTTCTTTTTTACTTAATATTGTTAATCGAATAATCACATGACCGGCGATCATGTTACGAATGTTACGAATGTTACGAATGTTGCAAATGTTACGAATGTTTAATATGTTTAACATGTTAAACATATGCAACATATTAAATATATAACACATATTTAACATATTACATTTGTTAAATATATAGCATTTATTTAATATTCTTAACATGATTAGCATAGAATTTATTGTTATAAATACATGCGTTCTAAATCAATGTAATAATAGATAATTCTGTTATATTTTAATAAAAGTATTTATTAAATAAATTATCTCATTTTTATTTTTATAGTTTGTTATATTTGTGAGTCAAATATTGCGTCTGAGTGTATATGCCTGTGTGTGCAATACCGTATTCGCATTTGACTGAAATTTCATTTTATTTTATTGTGTAACCTTCGTAAATTGATCGACAGTGATACATTTACTAATATTTACATATAGTTATTTTCACTTTGCGTTCATTAATATTATTTAACATTTATTTTATTCAATTATCCTTCTGCTTACCATACACCCATACGCTTATTTTTATAAGTATACAAGAACTGGCTTAACAATATTTTGTTGAAATTAATTTTTTTTTCTTATTAGGATTTTTGAAGATCTTATTATAAGAGACTAGAACTTTATTATTATCAGTAATATAAGAAATTGATATCAAAAGATTTGTAAGTTTATTGCGAAAACTGGAGAAATTCTTGTAGAGTGTTGACATCCTTTTCTAATTTTAATGATTTTTAAATAAATCGGTTATGGTACATTTTGCATGAAATCAATTTCACTGAGACCCATTTTGTTGAAACCATTTTACTTTACTGTGAGGTATATGTACAAAACTTCCCTACCAAAAACCACGAAAATTAGCCGGGATTATGACATTTGACAGGTATTAAAGTTCAAATAATGCGGGACAAAAAAAAAAAAAAAAAAATTCTAAATGAAAAAGTTTATTTTATTTATTTCATTTCAAAGCAAAGAAATACATTATCAGTAAGAACTACAGGAAATCAAACATAATTCCGTGGAGTAGAACATGGAAGATATTGTAAAAGGTCACCTAACGGCGACATTTCTCTGGTAGAAAAGGGGAGAAAAGGTAAAGCTAGACCGCACTACACGTAACGATGAAGCACACACCAGAGAGAATTGAAATAGAAAATATGAATTAAAAAAGTCCTGTACTCGAAAGCTATCATAACTATTAAAACGTATCCGTATTTGTCTTTCGCAAATGTACAATATACAAATGCGCCACTTGTAAATACTGTCAGAAGTGGAATGGTAAATTCGATAAAGTCAATTTTGTTGCCTTTTGCAGATACAATTAATCGCGAAAGATGAGAGCAGCGAGCCTTAGTTCCTCCATGTGAGGTCGACAATTTTTGGTGTTAGAAGCAAGATCGTTAGGGTCCGCTTCTGTCATTGGCGAAGGCGGAAGAAACATCGGATTTGTTGAGAAAAGAGCGAGACAACTCGTCCAAAGTGAATTCAAACCGGCTGGAAGCATTAGTTAAAACATCGTTCACTTGTGTAAAAGCGTTAATGGTAGGACTGTAGGGGAGATCGTTATTGTTGAACGAAAGTGAGAACGAGGCTGAAATGAAAAAGTACAGTTGTTACCGATAATGTTTCTCTGTGAAAAAAAAAAAAAATTAAAATTAATCAAAGTATATAAGGACACAAATACATTACGATCTGCTAACGATTATCATGATTACTTAGATATCATTATGCTATCTTAGATAAATGTGATTAAGTATAAGATTGATGGTTAGAAACAAGTTTACAGCGCCGTACCAAAATGTTAATCAAAAATGCCATTCGACATTTTTTGGCAAAATAATCATCATTCGGAGGAGGTGTACGACGTAAGAATATGTCCAGTTGTGATAAAAAAATTTAATCTTTTTCTGTAATATCGAATGAATCATTTGATGTTGGTAAAGGTGTGATGTCTTCAACAATCGGTAAAGGTTAAAATATCTATTTTGGTGAAATGGTCTCTAGCTTCAATAAAAAAGTCTTTAAGTGAAATGGCTCAATCCCTATAAAAAAAATTCTGAAAAAAATTCCGATAAATGATCTAAATTTTTCTAGTTTTTATTCCAAAGAAACTTGCGTGATCATTTTCTGAAAAATTCTTTATAGGGAATGGCTCTCAACAAAATGTCCTTTCAGTGAAATGGACTTACTAAAAGTCCAGATATCAAATAAATCTATAAATATGTAAAAATTTATAATTAATATGTAAATCAAAAAATCTAAATTATAAATTGCTACACAATATTAAGAACTTTGACATTTTCACGTTTGTATTATTAATTTCTTTTACGAATTACGATTAATCGACCGATGACCGACCATGATCGGACTGAAATTCCTAATTACGATCAAGTTTCTCTTATAAAATTTATAATTTATACTTGATGATAAAGACACAGTTCATATTTTTAAATCTATTATTTCTTTATTCTTTAAATATATTTTATGTCCGATATTACAAGAATGATAACTATATAAGGTAATATAAAAAAATTTTACTATTTAACTCTATCTTATAATAAATTTATGAATAAAATTTTACTTTAACAATTTTAACAAATTTAAATAAATAAGAATTTATTAAAAAAATTATTATCAACTTTTTTGAAGTGTTTCTAATCTATTTTTTGCATTTTGATAACCTTGTTTAGAAGATTTTTCATACCAATAAATTGATTTATCTATATCCTTAATAATTCCATCACCAAATTCATACATATTAGCAACATTATATTGTGCAACTTTACTACCTAAATTTGCCGATTTTTCATATAATTCAAATGCTTTTTGTTTATTAGGTTTAGTTCCAATACCATAACTATAACAATATGCTAACATAGTTATTCCATATAAATAATCTTCTTCAGCTGATTGTTTAAATAATTCAAATGCTTTATTATAATTTTTTTCAATACCTTTTCCATTTTTATAATAAAGGCCAAGATTACATTTAGCCATTATATTACCATTATTTACAGCTTTTTCAAACCAAATAAAAGCTTTTTTTAAATCTTTTTTAATTCCTATTCCATTATCATAAAAATAACCAACTTCTAATTGTCCCATTGCATAATTTTTATCAGCCACTTTTTCAAAATATTTGAAAGCTAATTTATCATTTTTTATAGTTCCAAATCCATTTTGATAACAATAAGCAACGAAATATTGTGCTAATGTATGATATTTTGCTGATGCATTAAGAAATAAATTAAAAGCTTTCTCATTATTTTCATTTGTCTCAATTCCATTATAATTAAAATATCCAAGTAAAAAGACGGAATTTGAATTAATTTGATTATTTGATAACCAATCAAAAATTTCTTGTGAATTTGTATTATAATTACTACTAAGATATTCAATAACTTGATCTTTTACTAATTCCCCTTCAATTCCTTTATTTAATAATTCAATAATAAAATCATTTATTTCATCAACTATTTTGTTAAAATCTTTTTCTAATAACAAATCCTTTTGTGATTCATTTGATAATGATGTAGTATTAATTACTTCTGTACTCATTTTATTAAAATTTTGAATGGGCTGAGATAATTCACCTTGTGATTCTGAATTACTTGTACTTAAAGGAACCTCAGCATTACTTAAATTAAGTTCTCGTTTACTTGATGATTGAAGAATTTCTGCTTTTACATCTGTTTTTGTAATAATTTCTTTTAGCCAATCAACTACTTGATATATAGTTGGACGATTATCTGGTTTACCACCCCAACATCCTAGAAAAAAAAGAATGTGATTTAAGATTAATCAAATTATATTTAAGTAATAATTATATTTGTAAATTTTACTTACTGGTATAAATTTTAACGTAATCTTCTGGCGTATCAGGAATAATTGTTTCTCTAAGACCTTGACCAATTTCCAAAGCTAAACTAACATCATATTGCTCACCTTCAATATAAAAAGGAAGTTGCCCACTTGATATTTCCCACAATAATACTCCAATACTGTAAACATCACTTTTTTCATTCAATGAATACGTTTGTGTTGATTGATTATTATTAAAACATATTGGATCAACGTAAGGAACCATTCCAAATAATTTGGATTGAAAATTGGATGAATTGGATGATTCTCCAATTCTTCTTGATAAACCAAAATCTGCTAATTTGATTGAATGTTGATGAACTAATATATTGCCAGAATGCTATTATAAAAGTGTATTAAATGAGTAACGAGAAATAATATTATTGAATGATTGAATAAGAATAAATGAATTACCAAATCTCGATGGACAATCCCTTCATTATGTAAGCATGATACAGCGCAAGCTAACTGATACGCCATAAGGTACTTATCATCCCAAGTTAGTTTACTAAAGTTATATTTCAGATAGTTTTGAAGATTACCACTGTCTGCATATTCCATCACTAACATGTAATTGATATTGTTATCATGATTTTCTAAAGAAAGACAAAAGTAATTATTAAAAAACATTTTTTTTTTTTTCGAATAAAAACTCGGTATATTATAAAATAGTATTTTACTATCTTTATAATACCTACCTGATTCAAATTTCGTTATTCCGTAACAACGAATAATATTATCGTGAAAATCAATTTTACGTTGTATTTTTAACTAGACATGTTGAATAAAAAAAAAAAAATAATAATAATTTGACGAAAGATATTTTTTTAAAAAAAAAAATAACGAAAATTATACGGTCAAAATTGTAAAAAAAAATTTATTGTGTCACGAAAATAATTCTTTCTGAAAGTTATACATAATAATTCCCGATTATAGTCGTACAGCATCACGTATTACCAAAAAAAAAGAAATAATACCTCAGACGAAGTACGCCACTATTGTGTCACATAAAAATAATAGTTGGAAAGGCGTTGATTATTTATATATTTAGTTAGAAATTTGAACTCCGTAAGATTTAGCCCGGTAAAAAAAAAATATTAATTTTTTGTTTCTTTATTCTATGTCATGACATTATGACAAATATTATTTAAAAAAATTGCTTTTAAGTAACGCTTTTATTTAGTTTACCGTAATTTTTACAAATCATAATCATATTTGTACAGTTACACGGCAGATTGTATTTTGTAAGGCTCGTAAATTAGCAAAATCATGAAACAAAATATACAAATATTATATTGGTATGTAATCAAAAATGAGAATGAAATAATAATAAGAAGAAATAAATAGCATTAATCCAAAATTTTGTTTGCTTATGTAGTCTCGGCAATGAGACAAGAATAATTCTAAAAACTTCTCGGGAGAGTAATTTCGAAAAATCAAGCACGTTATCAAATACTGCGCCATAACGTCATTCATTAAAATTGACAAATCAACAAGTTATAAAATTGGATGGCCGTGTACTCAACAAATATACTGTTGTTGTTGCGTATTTTCTGGAACATTATTCTAGATTATGCAAGGCATTACCTTTATTATTTAAATATAACTATAGTTCTTTTTTTCATTTCTAATTTTTATTTAACTTCAAAATGATTTATGATATTTACGATTCTTATTTTATAACATAGATGATTACGCTAGAAAACTACTTCATAAAGAATGTTTTGGCAACCGAAGCGGTTATTGATTTTCGTTGACAACAAGCGAGAAATTTCTTTTTCTCCCTTTTCTTCGATTTCTTATTTTTACCTTTTGTTTCATATTTATTAGTTGGGAATATTTTAATCATGAAGTAAATTTCGAAATTTTTTAGTTACATTATTTTTGAATTAATAATACAGTTGTATCAGAACTGGTTGTAGGTTTGTTTTACAATTTTTTTTTCTTTTACATATCATTTAACATTAACGATGATTTATAATAATTTAAGTTTTATGTCTTCGCCTGATAAGCCTAGTATTAAGTAAATATAAAATTTAACTTTATTTTTAAAAAGAATTCATGATCAAATTAAATTATTGATTATTAGTTTTTTTTAATTGATTAAAAATAGACATATATATATTTATTATGTTATATATTTCGTTAAAAACATATCATTTATTTCGTTGTAATATTTGGTTTTGCACACACAATGTATAATCATTTTAAATTTTTTTTTTTTTTTTTTTTTTTTTT